ATATATAATAAAAACATGGAACACTTTATTAATTTGCATGCTATCCCTGCGTGTTAGCAGGGGCCATGCTAATCTTCCCTGTATTGTTCTAATTTTAGCTTATGTGCTGCCAAAGCCAGCGCCAGTGCCAATTCTTGTTTTATCATTCTCCATTGAAAAGAATGGTAGTATCTTGGGAAAACAGCTGACTCAGGACTGGTGCAGGGAAAGCACAGGATGAGTCTGGAATGTCTTGTGCCCAATAAGGAAGCTCTCAAAAAATTGTGGAGACACGATTGAAGGACTTATCCAGCTTGAAGGGGCTCTTCAGGGCCAGCAACAGGTCATCCATTGGATCGCATGGGAATCCATGAGCTATTATCAGACAGAGTGGTGATGATTAAGATGATTATGAAGAGAGATAGAAAGATGCTCTGTAGACAGATAGATGACAGAAGATATACGGGCAGATATATATGGGCAGATACAGGTAAGTAAGTAGACTATGGCATTTTTTTTTGTTTGTTTGTGTAGGGAAATGTCCTTATTTAAAGAAATTACAAGCCAAAGAATTCAAGGGTGATAAGGTATTCTATCAGCACTTTACTCTCAAATGGTTCAGAAAAAAAAAATTTCTTACCAGGGGAGGGGCTTACAAGGCCACACCCCTTCCTGAGGTGTTATTGGCAGTTAATGTTTACTGAGAAAGGTAAAGACATTTCCTTCAGCGATGTAGTCACTGATAAGTTGCCCATGCTCCTGCAAGTAACCTTCACTGAACTTAACTGGCTCACACACACAAAAGAACATGAAACAGGAGCTAGTTACAAAGAGGAAGAAGATTAGCAGGAGTGGGAGGATCACAAGACAGGATACTGGGGAGCAAATGGGATCAAAATACATGAGACATACGTATAACATCATGTGTAATTAGTATATACTAATAAAAAACTTTTTAAAAAAGGGAAGCCGAAAAAAATTTTAAAATAATACTTTTCTTTTAAAAAGGAAACTGAACTAGAGAGATGGCTCAGTGGTTAGGAGTACTGGCTGCTCTTGTAGAAGACCTGGATTCAAGTCCCAGCACTCACATAATGGTTAACAACTCTCTGTAACTCCAGTTCCAGGGGATTTGACTCCCTCCTATGGCCTCCTTGGGCACTGCACATGAGTGCATTTACATGGAGGCATAACACACAAAATAAAAATAAATAAAAGTCTTTTATAAAAGGTGGGGGGACTTAGGCGATGGATCAGTGAGCCAAATGCTTGCCACACAGCCATGAGGATCTGAATTTAGAAGCCCATCACTCATGTAAAAAGTTGGACTTGGTGGTATAGCTCCTTGGTGGGGTCAGGGACAGGGACAGATGGATCCCAGGGGCTTATTGACTAGTCATTCTAGCTGAACTGATAAGCTGTAGGTTCAGTGAGAGACCCTGTCTCAAAGAATAAGGTTGAGGATGATTGAGGAAGGCACATACCTCAACCTTTGGTGCACACACACACACAAACATGCACACACACACGCTTATGTGCACACACGTACATGTACACATGCATACACACAAACAAAATAGGCTGCATGCACACAAGAACTTTTAAAAAAGAAAAAAAGGTTTCTACTGTTCTTGCGACTTGCTAGTATGCATAAAATTATTTAAAAATCAAAAAAAATTTAATTAGCAGGGCGTGGTGGCACATGCCTTTAGTCCCAGCACTTGGGAGGCAGAGGCAGGCAGATCTCTGTGAGTTCAAGGCCAGCCTGGTCTACATAGCGAATTCCAGGCCAGCTGGGGCTACAGGAAGACCCTGTCTCAAAAGGCAAAAAAACTTTTTAAATCAACAACAGCAAAAGTAATGGAGCCAGGAAAGACTGTGCATCTTCCTCTTTTCCACTCTCTTTTCTTTGCTCAAGGCTCCTCCCCCAGTCCACACACAGCCATGCAGCACTGTATTAGGGTTGTTTAAAGGAACAGAACCGGTAGAGTATATATATATAATATTTTATGTATTTTATATATATAGGGATTTATCAGATTAGCTCACAGGATAGAGTCCGAGTAGTTCAACACTGGAGAGGCTGAGAATCAGGTAGTCGCTCAGTCCACGAGGCTGGATGTCTCAGTAGTCCCAATCTAGCGATGAAGGTCTGATGAATTCCAAAAAATCATCTAGCCGTCAGTCTACAGCAGCAAGACCAACTCACCAGCGAGCAAGCGGCAAAAAGCAAGTGCTGTCCTCTGCCACGGCCTTTTATACAGGCTGCCATCAGAAGGTAACACCCATATTTAGGGTGTGTCTTCCAGCTTCAGATGATCCAATCAAGATCTCTCATTTCAGTTAATTCCAGATCCAGTCAAGTTGACACCCAGGATTAGCCATCACAGCACCTTCTTCCTCTCTGACCTCTGATCCCATCTCCATCTACCTGATCCTGACTCCACTGCCTCCCTTTCCTCAGGATAGGATTCCATTGAACTTACCCAGATCATTCAAGATGCACAGTGCTTTTACTTAAACACTGGATTTTGAGACTTCACACATCAGTGATTTTTTTTTTTTTCCTTTTCTTTTCTTTTTTTGGTCTTTTTGAGACAGGGTTTCCCTGTAGCCCTAGTTGGCCTGGAACTCACTATGTAGATCACACATCAGTGATTTTAACCATCACATCCCAAAATATCCCACAGAATGAACGAATCATAACTTGCCTTCTCATTTCCATATGATCTACTTCTCGTAACTAGTCATTGCAAACAATGTTATATATCCTCCTCGTTGTTGTATTTCTGTAGAAATTATCTAGAATTGTTATATGAAATTTTGTGAGTGATATTTTATTAGATGTTGGTTTTGCTGTCCCCAAACACATACTTTCAAATTCCTACCAACAGAGGCAGCCTGTTAAAATTCTCATTTAAGTAGATAGTAAACTTTTTAAACAGTAAAATATAGCGTATGCTTATTCACTGGCACTAAACTTCTGGAGAACTGAGGCATGTTCTCATTTGTATTTCTTTTGACTATTAGTGTCCTTCACACACATTTCTTCTGTGAGTAGCCTTCTATTATTGATGAGTGGGAGATTTTTACATGCAACCTGCCAGGGAGGCAGAGCAAGATATGGCCTTCCTACTCTGCAGTCTTTGAGCTAAATGAATTCTTAAACTTTCTAGAACCCACTCTGTAAACATAGAATTTTCATTCACTAAATATGCCTTTTCTTTTTTTACAACTAATATGGGTTTGTTAAGAACTATATTCTGTATCACTGTCATCAGATTTGGGGAGCAAAGTTGGAGGGAGATAAAGACAAATACTTGGGGGCTGCAGAGATGGCTCAGTAATTAAGAGGGCTTACTGCTCTTGCAGAGGACCCAAGTTCAGTTTCCAGCACCCATAATGGGTGGCTTACAGCTGCCTATAAGTCCAACCAGAGGATGCAATACCCTCTCCTGGCCTCCACAGGCACTACACTCAGGTACACATACTCACACATAGACATTCACATATATACATAATTTAAATAAAATATTTTAATATATATGTTTAATAGCAACATCTATTAGTTTGTTTTTTATGTGCATGTGTATTTTGTATGTGTATATTTTTTTACATGTCTGCATTTATGTGATTTTACCACATGCCTGGTGCTTACAGAGGCCAGAAGAAGGCATCAAATCCCCCGGAACTGGAGTTAAGAATGGGTGTTAGTTGCCATGTGGGTGCTGGGAACCAAACCCTCTGGAAGGGCAGTAAGTACTCTTAACTGTTGAGCCATCTCTCCAGTCCATGAAATAAAATAAAAAACATCTTAGCATGAACACCAACAACAACGAGGGTATCCTCAAAGAAGAGGCATACTGCTTTCCACTGGTGTCTGGGGTCAGGGGCAGACTTTCAAGCAACATAGCAAAGGAATGAATTAATGGAAAGACATGGATTTTACACAAAAAAGGAAAGCTAAAAGTCACTTATTCCCAACGGCAACAGCTATGACATACTTAAGTGATAAGCCTAATCAATTATTAAAGAAAATGTCTTTTCCATTAGTTTTTAATTAAATGTGAGCATCTCTGGGGCACTGATAAAGAATTCAATGTTTAATTTTTCCAATGATGGTGAATTTAACCCCAGGATTAGAATCAGATATTAAAACTAAGCACGTAACTGGAAGTCTACAGGAGAGTTTGGAAAATTGTTTGATGATTGTGAGAATTCACACTAGTTTTTGTGTCTCAGAAAGGCAATCTATTTGAATATATGAATATCCTTTTTTCCAGAAAAGAGGTCTTGATATCTCTGAAGATAGTTTCCCCTAGAAATGTGCTTCAAAGCCTCTGGGGAGGAGAAAGTAAGCCTGAAGGAGCCTTGATGCTAAAGTCTTAGAGACCAAGAGCAAGGGAGTCATGCATGATGCTTTGGTGCAAGGATGCCTGCTGGGCATCTGGTAAAGATGCTACAATATATCAGAGCAGGGGACCAGGAGATGTGGAAGAGTGCTAACACAATGGGAACAACCATGTGTCCAGTGGTCCATGAGCACCCACATTTGAAAGGAGAAGACAAAGCAATCCACATGTATGTATCGAGGGTGGGAGGAAGTGAAACACAGGTGGTCATGTGAGCAGGATAGGGACAAACACAGATGTCACTTCAAAGCCAGAAGAGAGTATAGAAACATGCTGCAGGAACCAGAGACCACCCGACCCTCAATGTTTTCGTCAGGGTTTTCCAGAAAGCAGAACCAATCAGACATGTATAGATGGATATTTAAAGAACAATTTGACTGTGGAGACTGGAAAGTCAAATCACTGCAGAGTAGACTGGAATTCTGAAGCCCCGAAGAAGGTGTGATGCTGTAGTTCAAGTTCAAAGACCTCCTTTGCCCAAGTTCCTTTTCCCGTATGCCTTGATCTCTTTTCTCATTGAGGGCTTCAAACTGATTGGATGACACAAACCCACATGCAGAGGTTAATCTGCTTCTTTCCCAAAATACAACATGACACCGGGCATGGTGGCATACACCTTTAATCCCAGCCCTAGGGAGGCAGAGGCAGGCAGATCTCTGTGAGTTCAAGGCCAGCCTGGTTTACATAGTTATGTTTAAATCTTCATATCATCTAAAAATACAGGGACTGAGGAGATGGTTTAATCAATAAAGTGCATTCTGTGCAAGCATGAGTATCTAGCTCTGATTCCCAGAACCCATGTAAAAAGCCAGGCATGGTGGCATATGTCTGTAACCCCCAGCAGTAGGAAGGCTGAGACAGGAAAATTACTGGGACCTGCTGGTTAGCCTGTTTAGTCAAACTGGTAAACTCCAAGTTCAGTTAGAAAGTCTCAAAAAATGAGGCAGAGAGTGATTGGGGAAAACACCTGGCCTCCAGATGTACACACACACACACACACACTACCTTTATAGAAACGTCTAGATTGGTCTTAGAACAGGTCCTAGCCAAGCCGACACATATAATCAGCCATTGTGATCAGCTTCCCACTGGGCTCTTCCTCGGTATTGAGATCTGAGAGGCATGAAAGCCTGGATTTCTTACAATTCTGGAGCCAATGAAGAAAGGCCACTTGGTTTCTATGGTCCTTGACTAGGAATAATCATGCTGTGGAAAAATCAATGGTGCCACCTCAAGCCATGCCACAGGAACAGGCCTAGCAAGTTGACAGACTGGCGTCAGCCTGGCTCTGGACAAATCCCTATTGTCATTACTAAAGCCCATCATCCAAGTGTTTGTTCTTAAAGTGCCACAGGATAAAAAAGCCTGACTGAGTTTTGTTTGTTTTTATTGTAGAAGAAACCATCAAAGCTCCATATTTTTCCTTTCTCTTGAAACAGCAAAGATTTGACTTATTCTGAAACCTCTGAGCTTCACATTTTTCTGAATGAAAATATGTGCTTTGGGGAAGAAAACAGTATGTCTGTGAGTTCGAAAAGTCATACCCAGGCACCCAGCAGAACGGTTAATTCTGTCAGGGAGAATCTGGCTGAGAGGAAGTTTGACCAGAGCATAGTGGGCTGGTATCTGCCAGTTCTGTATGTGTGGATTCAACCACAGGTCAAAAATGTGGTTAGGCCTCCAACAACTGCATCTGTATGCACATGCACACAATTGTTTTTCTTGTCATTATTCCCTAAAGTACACATTTTTACGATGACTTAAATAGCATCTACATTACATTAGATATTATAAGTAATCTAGAGATGATTTAATGTATATGCATAGATCACATGCAGGTACCCTGCCATTTGAATAATCAGGGGCTGGAGCATCAAATCTTGTTATCCTTGGGGGTCCTAGAACCAATCCCCAAGGAACACTGAACAATGACTGTACTCTCTGTGGTGTTTTGAATATGAAATATCCTTCATGGGCACATATGTTTATGCATTTGGTCCCCAGCTGTCTGAGAAGGTTGTGGAACCTTGAGTGTGTGGAGCTTTGCTGGAGGAAGCACACCACTGAGGGCAGGCTTTGAGGTTTTATAGCCTGGACACACTTCTTGTTCGCACTCTGCTTCCTGTGTGCCGATTAAATGTAGTCACTCGTTTCCCGACTGTCAGGCTGGCCACATGCTCTTGCTGCTAAGCCTTCCCCACCACGGCAGACTGTACCCCCTTTGGAACTATAAGCCAACATAAACCCTTTCTCCCTGAAGTTGTTTTTTGTTTCTGTTTGTTTTGTTTTGATCATGATAGTCTATCACAGCAACAGAAAAGTAACCCATACACTCTCCTAGCTGGGATCAGGAAGTAGGTCTGGATTCTGATGCTGGTTCAGCAATTAGTTCACCATGTGACCTCAGGCAAGTCACTTACATGTTCTGTTCCTTAGTTTCCTAGTTTGGGGATGAGGAGTGGGAATAAAACCCAGGGCTTTGTGCATGCTAAGCGTGTGCTCTGTCATTGAGAAAGAGCCCCAACTCTTGAAAATAGAGATAAAAGCATGACTCCTTCCAGGGCTATTATATCAATTTTGATAGTAGAATGGACATGCAAAGTCATATCCAAGTGAGTAACTCTCATCTCGTCAGACAGAGATAGTTGATTTTATGAATAAAATAACTTTGAAATAAGGGGACTAAAGTTTATGTCCTTTATACTTTTTATCTTTTATTAGTAAACAGAAGGAACACTGGAACTGAGACTTTCTAAACCTATAACTTGGGGTAGTATTAGGGACCAACTTATAATTCAATTTGTGATCTATGGAAACGTTGTGATTTTATTTTTCCTTCAAATCTGGGACCAGAATGAGCTGTAGTGATATGGAGGGGCTGGGCTTATACATAGCACATATATGATCTGTTCAGCATTCTTGCCTTTTGGGAATTTTTTCTCCTCTGTGACTCTAATGACTGTTAGTCATGTGGACCCTCTTTCTCTGAATGCAAGTGAGTATGTAATTCAAGCTAGCCAATCAGAACACTCTCTTCCATTGACACTGTGATTGATGCAGGGGTGGTCAGATGATCTAAGTTTATTCCTGAGCTGTTTATGGAATTTATATAAATGTTGAAGGAGAAAGGCTTTCTCCCTCCTTTGAGATTTTGAGCTCCTGTCTCTGTTTCCTTACTTAAGCAAATTGTAGTGAATTGAGGAGTACCCTCCTGACCATTTCCATCCAGAACCTCAGAGTATGATCTCACTAATAATAGTCTTAGAAGATATAATTAGTTAAGGACCATGAGATAAAATCTTCTTGGATTTAATGAGGGTCCTAAGTTCCATGACCAGTGTCCTAATAAGAAGTGAGGACACAGGCACAGAGACGAGAAGGTAATGTAAAGGTGGCAATGACCAGAAGCCAGAAGAGATTGCCCCTCAAAGCCTCTAGGAGGAACCAGCCCTGGGACAGGGCTGATTTTAGATACTGGACCTCCTGAACAATGAAAGAATAAACAATATTATTTTAAGCCACTTGATGGGCTGTTTGTTATAACAGCCCTAGGAAGCACATAGAGACTGCTTCAAAGAATTCAAAGAAAACTTAAACATAATGGGCCTCGGAAAAATGAGAACCAGGGAAACCCCAGGGATCTATCAGTGGGCATTGTGGACCTATGATCTGATGCTCACTTCTGTAATACAGTTTCTAACTCTGTCAATCTCATTGGTTTTTTATGAAAACAAAACCAGGTACAAAAAGAAGAGTGCTCTGGCATCTTGGTTACATTTCCTGTTGCTGTGATAAGAAGAGCCCCTGATAAAAGCAACTTAAGAGAGAAAGGATTTATTTTAGCTCATAGTTCAAGGGTACAGCCCATTGTGGTGGTTTGAATGAGAAATGTTCCCTCCCTTAT